TATTATTTTATAGTTGGCGTATATGATCCAATTTACAGGGCCGATAGACTGGATATTGACATCCTCAAGATCAACGAACCGAGGTTCACATAGTGTAAGATTGTTTTGGAATTTCATCAGTTGTTCAGCACATTTGTTTCTAGGATAGGATATCATATTGGAGCTCGTACACAGGAATTCATCTGCCGCTATTTCGGTGCAAGGCCGAGATACCGGTAAGTATTGTGAACCTTTCACCAAACTGTAAGGATACTTGGGAATTATTAGAGACGTTCTGTTTCTAAGTGCATCGAATACAGGTAATGGGTATAATTTGTAATAATTGTAATGAAAACTATCAGTAAGTGGAACTTCCATCAAGTACGTAATCTAGTTTCCTTTCATGTAAGCTTTTATAACAATAGTTCTTTCAATATTTATTAAATTCTCTACATTTACTGGGTATACTAGGTTATCAACTTTGGCTATATCATTAAGTATCACTAACAGATCAGATGAATTAATAATTGATTGGTGTAATACTGAAACTTTACTAAAAGCTAAATCGGTTTCTATTTCACTAAGTTTAAGGTAAATACTACGAAAGTTACTGATAAACATATATGCCTAAAATATATGTATTATAAATTGAATTATTTTCTTTGGTAGCTATGTATTTCACTATTCGTTCAATCCTTTTTAGGTGTTCATCTAATATTAGTTCATTTTCATGTAAAGTTTCTGTACTATTCGCCAAACTATTCAGCATTTTAGACACAACGGTGATTTTACTGTCAACATTCAATTGATTCCGCTTGAATTTAGATATAACGGAATCGTATCTAAGAGCATCTTCGTGATCCAAAAAACCGGTGATAGTTTTAATGATTGATCCTAGGGGATCTATGAGACCTCTTTTAAAACTATTGGATGGTACACGTTGTTTAAGTTTTTCAATAGTTAAATCGCTAGAATAATCGGCTTGGATTTTCATGGCTTGGAGCTCATAAACATAAGGTTTATTTATATCAACTAACCTACAAAAATCTTTAAACTTAATAATATTCAAATATAAATTTTCCTTCATTCCTAACAAATTTACTTTTTTAACTATAAGCCACCTGTTTGTTTGCTTAAAAGCTTGGTCTTCTTTTACAGGAAGCAGGTCCGGGTTTCTGTCAATTTTTTGAAGTTGAAGACTGCGGCTCCAAAGTATATGAGCCATAGTCAGGATGACCACGCACCACCTGTCGAGGTCGTTTGAAATTTTTAATAAGGACCTTTGTCTCCCATTCACTTATTTTAACAGGCACGGTATTACGTTCTACAGGGCCTTGAACAACACCTTTCCTGTACCTAGCTTTGTCTTTACTTTTCCTAATATTGCTGTCCTTTACATACGCTATTTGCCCTTCGTTAAGTACTACATTTGTTTCTCCTCCTTTCCTTTCCCTAGCCTTTTCCTTTTGTTCAATCATTCGATCGGAAATGTACTTGTATAAATACTTAGTGCGTTTTTGATGATCTTTTAATAGCTGTTGGGTATAGGCCCTATAGAAATTGTTATCAAAAACCTTTCCGGAATCCGTATGCCCAAAGCAGACATCAAACGGAGTTAAACTAGTAGTGGAGTGTACTGTGTGGTTATAAGCCATTGTGGCACTTAGTATTCTAACATCTTTACAAAACTGCTTATAATTTAGTATGGCTTCGCCTGAATGCACATCGATTGGTAATTTAACACGTAGTTCCGATCTAGGTGGTAAAATAAAAATTTGATTTTCAAAAGTATGTACAATAGGAATACTTGTGCATTTTGTTGAAAGTATATGATGCTTTAAATCGATGACAGCCTCTAATTGTTTTAATAGGTCATTACCTATGAGGCCATCATAACGCGAATCTACGTTATATATATAGAACTTGTGATATTCAGGGCTTTTAAATGTGGGTGGTAGCGGAATAACTATGACCTGATTATGGCTACTTGTAGCATGTGTACTGAAAACCTCGAAGGGTTCATTAAAAATTTCATTTTTAAAATATTGGTATGCCTTACGTGGGCTTATAAATGAATACGTGCTACCGGTATCTAACATGAATTTTGAATCTAACTCCGGGATATATATATATAAAGTAATTTTAAATTTGTGTCATTATTTAGTTCTATGGTTTCGGGGTTTTGTGTTGAGGCGGCTATGTGAAAATTTTCAATATATTCCATCCTCTTAATATTTGTATCAACCGGGTTGGAATCAGTTCCCGGGTTTACAGTTTCTTTTGATTGATATTCGGAGTTATAGTAAGGATCGTCGTTAGGATATTGATCGAAATAATTTGCATTTTCGTATTAATACATATCATCATTATAATAATTTTCATTTAACTCTAATTCGTTTTACCTAAAACCTTGTTGCGGTCGTGCTACAGGTGCTGTGCACATCGACACATCTGCATTAATTCGCGGTTGGCTTTGCTGAGAAAAATTACTATTGTTGTTATATCGCTGCTGCATACCGAACTGTTGAGGAAGCATTGAAAATAAAGGCTGAAGGCCTACAGGTCTATAGCCAAATTTTGGTGGACGATATCCGAATTGCATTTGATTGTTATTAGGTTGTGGTGGTCGATAATAGTTTCCGAAACTGTTAAATTGTCGCTGCTGACCTTGAGTCGGTAGCGGCATCTGCACCTGCTTATTGGTGGAATTCCAAAATTATATCTAGGTGGTTGGTTCATTTGCATGGGCTTAAAATTATAAGACTGTTGAGGTAGAGTGTTATTATTACCGAATTTAAATGATGTCGAATTGTTGTGCGATTGCGAATGAGATGTGAGATTGGATCCAGACATTTTGTTTCTCATTTGGTACTGACTATGGAAGTTAACTTCTTCTAATACAGTACAGAGCGCATCCTCTAATGAATTTGGGGCTTTGAAACGCACTACTCTAACTAAATGTTCTGGTAAATTATACAGGAAAACGTTTAATGACGTATTTTCATAAATAGCCTTTTTACTATTGCGCATATTTGAGTCCGACAACCGGTTAACTTTACCTATTAAAATTGATCTCATAGATTGAATTTGACAATAAAAATCGAAATAACTTTCTCCGGGTTTAATTCTTAAGGTCTCAAGTTTGATACTTAAAATCTCTTCACTTCGTGAATCTCCAAAATGCTGAATCAATAACTGCTTAAACTCATTCCACGTTGTAATATCATCGCGCTCACCAACTAATGCAGCTGCATTACCGATAAGGCGGCTTGTTATTGTATGCATCACGTACAAATTCTGTTCCGTCGAGCCATTAAATTTAGTTACAACATATTCACACTTTCTTAAAAATAGATTTAAGTGACGTTTGTCACCATCAAACAAAGGGATGATTTTAATCATTTCACCAGGGATAAGTCTAATATTCTCCATAATTATGTATTTGCTTATCACACAATAAATAGTAATAAAATAAAAAAATATATAAAATAAATCTAACAATCTAAATGTCACACAAAATATTAAGGAATAAGACGTATATGATTAATAAAAATATTTCTTTGTAAAATTATAATTTCCTGTATATGGTATACATGTTAAAATAGATAAAACTTAAATTAAATAACAACTTTTTTAAAACTATTTAACCAGAATACGTTAAAATGAGAGAAGTTCGATCTCAAGATAATAGAACGCCGCGGTAGTGGAAAGGATAGTGAAAAGTCCTACTCACCAGCCACCAGCTGCTCTCATGGTCCAGAATCAGCTCCACTTCCTTGACGAATTTGATTTGGTTCGAGGATCGTCTCGGTTTTTTCTTCGCGCCACGGACCTCATATTCCAACATATTTTTATATTGAATTCGCGAAGGACGCAACACAACCTAGTAGTGTGACGATCCTACCGGCTGCGCCAGTCAAGTTTACGGGAACGTGAAATGATTTTTTTAAAACTATTTAATAAAAAAATAAACTATTTACAATAATTATAATTCTAATTACTTAATTAATACGTCTTGACAGAAGTCGATGTCAAAACGAAGTGGTCGCTCCCATTAGCTCTGCCTGATATCTCATGCAACCAAAAGCGCTGACTCTACAGTTACTGGACACTGCCTAATACTTATGCAGCCCCCTCTAGGTACAAAGCCTAACAACCCTATGGTCTTGTGGTTGCATAACTAGTTTGTAAATATTTGCTTTTTCTACTGCCAATTACAGGTTCTTACTTTAAACTACAATTACAACTGTGTGGACATAATATATAAATAACATTAAACAATTATCATATTTAAAGATATTTACGGATATTTTACAAAACATAGTACATATTAACAAAATTAGATACACATTTTTTTATAAGATAGGGTGACAAACTAGCACACAGTCCACCTGATGGTAAGTGGTTGCTGTGGCCCATAGACATCTACATTTATCCTCGTTTGCGAATCAAAATGCAGATGTGTTGTCACCTGTGAGGGCTAAGATGGAATACCTCTTTTCCAGTAAAAAGGGTCTTTGGTTCTCTACAGTCACCATACGAAACACAGCAGTGTTAAGCTGCTATTTTACGCTGGTATTCTGTGAGAGCGTGGTCCTTCCCCGGTCGAGCCGACCCAGTCGTGCTACAACTATACTACTAATATAGCTGCAGAATAGCTCTACCACGTATAAAAGTGGTATATACATATCAAATAGTGTTTTCTTTTAGTAAGTATATTGTTAAGTGTGTGTATTGGTTGCGATTTTTAAATGTAGATAGTGAAGTGTTTGTAGTAAAGTGTAGGTAGTCTAGGAAAGGATGTGAAGATGTGTGGCATGTTTGTGATTTTTTATTAATATTATTAATAACTACTAATTTTTAGGGTTCCGTACCTCAAAAGGAAAAAACGGAACTGATATGTATTGCGGGTGCGCAGCACGCCAGTAATAAACTAGCCTCGCTACTAAACGGTCGTTTCCTTTGTTCTATACATCTCACTGGCGACGAGTTTTGTACATACCTACGCGTAAAAAAAAAATATGTCGTATTTAGGTAATTTGCCTGTTTTCGATCACAAAATAAGTGAATGGTCAATATTTTATGGGAAATTAACACAGTTCCTAAGGATAAATAATGTGACAAAAGAAGAAATTAAGAGTGGTATCCTGCTTACTCATCTCACCGATGAAACCTACCGCTTAGTACGTAACTTAGCGTACCCTAACACGGTGGAATCGTTAACTTACAACGAGCTAGTTCAAATACTCAACAGCCATTTCAAACCAAAGCAGTGCTCCTTCGTAGATAAGGCCAACTTTTTCGGAGGGACTAGAAGTCCAGGAGAATCACTGGGAGACTGGGCGGCGCGATTAAGAGGACTAGCAAGCCATTGCGAATTCGGCGACGCCCTGGAAACGAATCTGAGAGATCGTTTTGTCCTAGGCCTGGGCTCTGGCCCGGAACGTGACAAGCTGTTCGAGCAGAACCCGACAACACTTACGCTAACTAAGGCGATTGAAATAGGGGAACAAGCTGCTTGCGCAAGAGAGGTAAAGGTGATGCTGAATACGAGCGATTTTGGGGTCATCAAGGAAGAACCTGTGTATCGTGCAAAATTTCACCAGTTCGCTCGGGGAAGCGGAGGTGACGGCAGTGGCAATGACAGTGTCGGCGCTAGGACATCGCGACGCGAAACTGGCTCCTGTTCAGTTTGTGGTATGAAAAATCATTACAGTGATAAATGCCGGTACAAAAGCTATAAGTGTCAAAAGTGCGGTATAAAAGGGCATTTAAAGAAAGTTTGTGCTAAAAATAAAAATAACTCGTGTGCTTATCACATTCAATCAGAACAGGAATGCGGCGCTAATGAGGCCAAGGACACAGGTTGCGTAGAATGCCAGAACTTTAACTTAAGGTACGTTGATGATAAACCAATTGAAATAAATTTAATTTTGGGCAATCTCAACTTAACAATGGAACTAGATTCAGGCTCGAGCAGCTGTGTAATTTCTGAAAAACTGTATGCTGAAAAGTTTTCCGATTATCATTTGAATAACAGCAATATAAAAATGTGTCTGTATAATGGGCATAAAATCTCTCCACTTGGATATTTCTGGGTTGAAGCTTGTTATAATAAAGTTAAACACAAAATAAAAATTTATGTTGTTAAAAATGGGGGTCCTCCCCTGCTGGGTAGAGATTTTATGTCCGCGTTTAATTTAATTATAACAACTAACATAATGTCTATGTGTATTGATAAGAATGTAAACAATGTATTGCAAAAGTTCCCTAACTTGTGGCAGGATGAGTTAGGTTCGTTCAATAAATTTAAAGTATGTTTACGTTTAAAGGAAAATGCAAAACCTAAGTTTTTCAAGCCACGAACCGTACCCTTTGCCCTTAGGGATAAAGTCGAAGAAGAGTTGAACCGTTTAGTGACCTTAGGTATTTTAGTTCCAATTGACCAATCAGAGTATGCCACGCCTATTGTACCTGTTTTGAAGGAAAACAATAAAATAAAAATAGCAGGAGATTTCTCGGTCACGCTGAATAAAGATCTTTTGATTGAAAGATACCCCCTACCTCGAATCGAAGAGGTATTTGCTAAAATTGGGGGTGGCGAACGATACAGTAAAATTGATCTTAAGAATGCTTATAATCAATTTGTTTTAGATGAGCCATCACAATTACTTACAACAATAAATACCCATAAAGGGTTATTTAAATATACAAGATTAGTGTATGGCTTATCTAATGCACCTGCAATCTTTCAAAAGGCTATGGAGACACTTCTCTCTGGCATAGATGGAGTCAGCGTATGGCTCGATGATATATGTATAACTGGCCCCAATAGTGATTCCCACATTAAAAGATTAGAAGAAGTATTAAGTCGGTTAAGTGACGCCGGGTTGCGACTACAGAGAGACAAGTGTGATTTCTTTAAGGATAGTGTAAAATATTTAGGCTATGTCATAGATAAAAACGGCTTAAAGACTGACTCGGAAAAAGTTCACGCTATCATTAATGCGCCCGAGCCGACTAACGTAACCGAAGTTAAGAGATTTTTAGGCATGGTCAATTATTATAGGAATTTTATACCAAATGCTTCTTCACTACTCCATCCTCTTCACGAGCTATTGCGTCGCGATACGCCATGGGAGTGGGGCGAGCATCAGAGGCGTAGCATGGCGGCAGTGCGCCGCGAGCTGGCGTCCGAACGCGTGCTAGCGCACTTCGAGCCCACAGCACAACTCGTACTGTGCGTGGACGCCGGACCCGGGGGCCTAGGCGCCGTTCTATCACAACGATCGGACGACGGTCACGAACGCCCCCTCGCATTTGCGTCTCGTTCACTCACCACCAGTGAACGTAACTACAGCCAAATTCAGAAAGAAGCAACTGCTATTATATTCGGGGTGAAGAAATTTCATCAATTTTTGTATGGTAGAAGCGAGCCGTTTATTCTTAAAACCGACCATAGGCCTCTAGTTTCTATTTTCGATACTAAAACAGGCATACCGATTACAACAGCGCTGAGATTACAGCGATATGCTATAATATTATCGGCCTATAATTACACTGTCCAGTATGTGTCGAGCGATAAAAACGTAGTTGCAGATTATTTTTCTCGCTCACCCTTAACGTGTAGAAATGCATCGGATTGCCAAGATAACGATTTAGACTCTTACTACGTAGTTAAGTTTATGAATGAGACGTCACCGGCGACGACAATCCGCGATATTGCACAAGTGACACAACAAGATACGGTTCTTAAAACAGTCATTAGGTACATGAATCACGGTTGGCCACGTAAACTAAGCTGTCGAACAATACTTCCTTATTTTCAATGTAAGTCCGACTTACAGTTCGAACAAGGGTGCTTATTTAGGGGACATAGAATAGTAATTCCGTCAAAGTTTAGGGAACACATGCTAAAAGAACTACACGACACACATCTAGGAATAATAAAAACAAAAAGTAACGCACGAAGTAGGATGTGGTGGCCGGGTATCGACCGCGACATTGAACGTTGGATCGGGTCCTGCAAAACATGCGTGAGCTTACGCTGCGCCCCGCCGCGCGATCCGCCGGCGCCGTGGCCCGCCGCCGCCGGCGCATGGCAGCGCGTACATATCGACTACATGACCGTGGGGCAAAGGGTATACCTCGTGGTAGTTGATTCGTTTAGTAAATGGCTGGAATGTATATTCATGAACAGTGGAACGTCGTCACAATCGCTTATTACAAAATTAAAAAATATTTTCTCTACTTTCGGTATACCTAATGTTTTAGTTTCTGATAACGATGTTAAAATAAACTCTAATGAATTTAAGACCTTCTGCTCTAACAATGGTATTAAGTACTTAACTTCCCCCATATATCATCCACCAAGTAATGGACAAGCGGAGAATTCGGTTAGGACTTGTAAAAAAATGCTAAAATGTATTTTAAAAGATAACCTACCACAGCACCAAATTAATGAAGTATTATTGGGATATTTATTTAACTACAGGAACACGGTACACTGTACAACCGGCGAAACGCCGGCTAAATTAATGTTTGGTAGAAATCTACGATCTCGTCTCGACCTAATTATACCCATAGAAAAAACACAATTAAATATGCCTTTAGTAACCAGTAGGAGATTTTTTGAAATAGGTGATACTGTTTGGGCTCGGTGGTACAGTGCCCGGAAAGAAACTTGGGAGTTAGGTACAATTAAAGAGAAGGTCGGTAGTAAAATGTACAAAATATTTATTATAAAATTTGAAGCAACATGCATTAGACATATAGATCAGCTGTTAAAATTTACGGGCAACGATAATTCATTAAAAATTAATAACACTGATAATGTTGAGAGTCGCAATTTTCAGTCGTTACCCTTGTCACCGTCTATGCCCGTGAATGCTCCTTTATCCGAACCTTCTGTAGGCAATCCTCGGTCATCGACCATAGTAGAGCAACCCGTTAATACTGACGCAATAGACGATGTTAATGGGGAAGAATGGGGCGATTATTCGGCACAGGACAGCGTGAGAGATTCAACAGAGATTCCGGAAGCGTCAGATTCGCCTGAAGCTTCCGAAAACGGAGTCGAACAGCCTCAGAGCGATTCTGTCCGCTCCAATGACGTACCACCAGCGCAGGCACCGACACCCGCTCGTCAACTGCGCCCCCGGAAGGGGATAGATTATAAGAAGTATTTTAAATGATTCATTGTGTTATTAAATCTAGTTGTTGTTGTGGTGTGGTGTGGTATAATTTAATTTATTAAATGTTGTACATCTGTTAAGTCATAAGTATCTTAAATATTGTTTTATTTAAAACTTTATGTATTATATATTTAATAGAAATTTAAGTATTAACTGATCACTGTAAATCTACTTTGTTAACAGGTATCAAAATTAAGTGTAGAGGAATGATATGTATTGCGGGTGCGCAGCACGCCAGTAATAAACTAGCCTCGCTACTAAACGGTCGTTTCCTTTGTTCTATACATCTCAGGAACCCTTATAGGATCACGTTGTTGTTTGTCTGTCTGTCTGTCTGTCTGTCTGTCTGTCTGTCAAGACCCTTTTTCTCAGGAACGCGTGGAGGTATCAAACTGAAATTCATATGAAATACTCAAGTCTAATGTCCCTTGGAGTTGTGAAAAAATCAAACTTCTAAGCAAACGCAATCAGAAGATACAGCCGCTTATGCCGCAAATTTTCGACATTCACAAGGGAACCATGGAATAAAAACCTGAACTCAGAATCTTAAAATTTGGTACGAAGCAACGTATTGTAGCACAGATAAAGGGAAAATTGCGAAAAGCATAAATTTTTAGTTACATCATATAATAAAAATATTTTTAATAATTTTAAACTACAGATTTGTGCGGAACCCTCGGAGCGCGAGTCCGACTCGCACTTGGCCGGTTTTTTTTAGAATTCAGATTATTTCTTTTTTTATGGTAGAGTTACTGTCGTGAAAATCAATAGATGAAAAGATTTTGATATAGCAGTTAAGTGTACGACTAAAGACAGAATTTGGAGCATAGATTAGATTAAAGCGACTTAACGGAACATGAACGCCTTTGGAACTCCTTGCCTAACGACATCAGAAAAGCTCCCAATAAGTTTGCTTTTAAAAAGTTGGTGCGTAATCATCTATTAAAGACAACGCTTCTTACATGAATCATCCATGTCATTTATATTTTTAGACGTAAATATTTATAGTTATTTATATGTACTATTTGTATATGTATGTTGATATGAATATATGTATGCTTATGTATGGTTTTAGCACTTACTTCTTTAATAATTGAAAATGTTGATCACGGAAGAAAATGTATTACAGTTTTTCTTGGTTTAAAAAAGGCATTTGACACCGTCTCTCTTCTCAGTCTAGTTGCTAAACTAGAACATATCGACATTCGAGAAAAAGCACCTGAATTGATGAGGGACTATTTACAGGGACGTATCCAGAGGGTTAAAATTGAAGACTACCAAAGCCAAGACTGCGACATTACTTACGGCGTACCACAGGGGAGTGTCTTGGGCCCTACTCTATTCTTGATATATATTAATCAGCTCACAGAATTAAATATTGAGGATGGCTAAGTCTTTTCGTATGCTGATGACACTGCTATTGTGTTTACTGATAGTACTTGGAAAGGTGTATTTTAGAAGGCTGAAAAAGGTCACAAACACACACCTACTCTAAATCATAGGTAATCTTGCCCGGCTTATCTCAATATTTAATGTTATTAGGAAGAGCGGTGCCTCCTGACACAGGTATTCTTTTATACTTACTAGGAGGCTCCAATTACTTTATTATTTAGTATGCCTTGAGAAAAAAATAAATGGATATTTAATTTTAATTTTTTTAATAATTTTTAAGTATGTACGTATATATTTGTATTCATGTATAAATATGATATATTTTTATTTTATATATTAGTAAAATGTATATGTAACGTAATTAATTATCATTTCTATTTTGTTTTTATTCTATATTGCTACACCTACTTCAAATTCTCACCACTCTATGGGTTGACTGATAGAAAATGCCACAAGGCATTAAGTCCGCCCTTTGTATTCTTTTAGATTAAGTAATGCAATAAAGAATCAATAAATAAATAAACATGAAATAGAGATATGTATTTTGTACGGTTCGAAGGAGTATTAAATTGTAGGAATTGAAATGTCAATTCAGGACCATCAATTTTATTATTACATACGTCGTGTAGAAACAAAATTTGTAGAAGTGTACGTTGGTCCTTTAACTGCAATAAGGTATGGTGATCGCAAGATTCCTTGTAACTGCTTTTTTATGTTATGTACGATGATTTAATGCCTTATGTCGTGAAGCGACAATTAAATACAAAAGAATCTAACCTAGTAACAGCAAAACAACAAAAATAGAACAAAAACAAATAATATATTTAAGATTTAAAAGATATTTACAATTTTATATAACAAAATGGAGTATGAAGATGAGGATGGATGTCGTGATTTACAAATTATTTAAAAAAAAAGTAATAAGAAAAGAGATTAGTGTCGAAGCTGAGCCCGAAGATCCAAGGTGTACAGCAAGTGCTCTCAGCGCCTGGAACGAGCACGCACGGCGTAGGTGAGAAGGCGTGGGCGTCTCTAGGCGACGACCTCAGGTGAATGCGGTGGTTTGCAAGATCCGGCGATTTCAGGCAGAGCAGATACTTGTAGTATCCCGGCGAATTCAGGCAGAGCAAAGGCTTGTAGGATCCGGCGACTTCAGGCAGAGCAGAGGTTTGTAGGATCCGGTGACTTCAGGCGGGACAGAGGTTTGCAGGATCCGGCGACTTCAGGCAGAGCAGATACTTGTAGTATCCCGGCGACTTCAGGCAGAGCAAAGGCTTGTAGGATCCGGCGACTTCAGGCAGAGCAGAGGTTTGTAGGATCCGGCGACTTCAGGCAGAGCAAAGGCTTGTAGGATCCGGCGACTTCAGGCAGAGCAGATGTTTGTAGGATCCGGCGACTTCAGGCAGAGCAGAGGTTTGTAGGGTCCAGCGGCTTCAGGCAGGACAGAGGCTTGCAGGATCCCGGGGCAGTGCGGCCCCGGGATAAGGCCTTTAGGAGATGCTTCGAATTCGAGAACTGAAGCGAGACTCAATTTCTTCACCGATTGTTCGGCTTTTATACCTTTCTAGAGAGAACGGAAAAATTATTTAAATTAAACGCAAATTTTTTGTAAATGGCCAAGAGGAAAGAGTATTTATGTGGAATTATCGAAGTAGAAACAACAGACCGGTAGCAAATTTGAATATAATTGCCATGACGACCAGATAAACAACGATGTCAAAACATGTCAAATTTTGGTTTTAGGCTCGTAATAGAAAAACGGCAAGATTTAAGTGAAAAATGAGATATTATTGATATAGGAAAAAAGGTAGCGCACTTGCGCGCACAAAGTCTGAAATTGCAGAGTTACGGAGAACTAAATAAAAGATCGAAAAAGGTAGACTCCATTGACACCAATTTAAAAGTGCTGATAATGTGAAAATACGAAGTAGAAATGATTTGTTATTGTGTTCTTATGGTTTAAAGTCGTTACAGGATCCTATGGAAATAAAGGTGATGTAAAATATACAGTTTTGAGGTGAATGCAGAAAATCGAAACAGAATGGAAAAATGAATTTAAAATAATGTAAAATGATATGTAAGTAGCATAACACTACATTTTCCCCCCGACCCTGGAAAATTTTTGACTCAGCAAAAATTTTGATATATACATTCTAAAATAAACCATAAAAACACACTTTGCAGAAACAGACATCACCAGGCAAAATCAGATATACTATCTCTTACATTCATCATCTGCATTCAGGTAAGGGTGGAGTTCACATTCAATGACTACCACTCTAAAAGTGTGTTTTCGAAAAGACATTCAGGCTTATTTAAGGAGTTGTCATCCGCTCCTGCGTGGAGAAAAAAAATTATTAAGGGAGTAGTCAGCCGCTCCCAAGTGAAGATAAAGATAAAGAAATATCTTAAGTAAGCTTTAGTCGCTATGACTTAAGTAAAGATTAAGAACGGCCAGAGCGGTAGGGCTCAAAGCCAGAGATCAGCAACATCACCAACGAGATGTGTCTGAAATAAAAATAAAAAGTGAAGATTAACCAACGAAAATTCGAGGTCCTAGAGCAAGATGTGTTGAAGAACACTGGATCACCAAACAAACAAATTAAAAGAAATAAAAATAATAAGGTGAAAATGATGGTGAAGATGAGAATGATGGTGAAGTTTGGGAAACAAGAGGGGGTTCCATGACAGTCGGGTCAACAGGAGGAGAGTCATTTTCAGTTGAAGGTGGAGTCAAGGATTCGAATTGTTTAGTAATAGCGTCAAATTTGCAAAGTTAAGTTTAAGAAATAAAAATTTAATTAAAAATTATACCTCTTTAAATTATCTAGAATAAAAATATTAAAGCGATGAATGTAAGTGAAGTGTTAAATGTAGGTCTAAATATAATCCAGATAAGTTGAAACACTAGATGAAGTGTTGTTTTAGAATTTGGAAGATATGAAAAGGATGAATAAATAAAGAGTTAAGAACGAAAGAGAAAGCAATTAAATCAAAAGGGAATGGACAAGGCGCAGTAAAGGTGAAGAAAAGAGAAAGAGAACTTTTACGTTGGGCGCCAAAATGTCGTGAAGCGACAATTAAATACAAAAGAATCTAACCTAGTAACAGCAAAACAACAAAAATAGAACAAAAACAAATAATATATTTAAGATTTAAAAGATATTTACAATTTTATATAACAAAATGGAGTATGAAGATGAGGATGGATGTCGTGATTTACAAATTATTTAAAAAAAAGTAATAAGAAAAGAGATTAGTGTCGAAGCTGAGCCCGAAGATTCAAGGTGTACAGCAAGTGCTCTCAGCGCCTGGAACGAGCACGCACGGCGTAGGTGAGAAGGCGTGGGCGTCTCTAGGCGACGATCTCAGGTGAATGCGGTGGTTTGCAAGATCCGGCGATTTCAGGCAAGACAGGGGCTTGCAGGATCCTCAGCGACTTCAGGCAGGACAGAGGCCTGCAGGATCCGGTGACTTCAGGCGGGACAGAGGTTTGCAGGATCCGGCGACTTCAGGCAGAGCAGATACTTGTAGTATCCCGGCGACTTCAGGCAGAGCAAAGGCTTGTAGGATCCGGCGACTTCAGGCAGAGCAGAGGTTTGTAGGAT